AGTCTTTTGTCTGTGTGTGAATGTTGTTTGAGTAAGAGAAAGAGCGACATAGACGTGAGTGAACAGAGAGAAAGAGCAACATAGACGAAGAGAACTGGGAAGGGAAGAAAGAAACAATGAAATTTTTTGCCCTAATCTAAAGTTTTTATATGTGGTAGGTAAATTACCAAAAACCCCCACTCCTTAATAATATTTCATTTCAGTTCTGGTTCTCGATTCCAGTTCTTGACTGTAGGAACCGCAACTGCACAGTGTCGGTTCCAGATTTTTGGAACCAGAACCTACCCATTGACTATCAATTCTGGGTAAGAACTAGAACCAAACCCTAGGTACCCAACGGTTCCAGTTCTGGTTCCAAATGATTCTTTTGAACACCCCTACTCTTTTAACTTTGCTCAACTATGGCCATGTTTGGGCCTTTCCCCCCATACATACTGCATCATCCTGTCATCAAACTAAAAATCATCAAGGACACCGTCGAAGTCATCTGTGGCCAATTTTTTTCGCTTGCCTCCGCTCACTACACCTCTACCAATGGTCTTTTTCATTAAAGGCCATATGTCATTACTAGTGTTTGGCCAAAGGCCACATCGGTGATGGCACAATTAGGATACAATATATCACTATTACTGCTTTGTCGTAGCCTCATGAGTGCCAATACCTAATTGATGTGCTGCATCAAATAAAAACAACATGATAAGTATACAATACCTCATGGAAAACATAAGCAAAAATAAGGGAAAATAACTCACCGAGTTGTCAAGCCACTTGCCCATTGTCAACATCTTTTCAAACTACTCCCGGGGATAATCTACAGTCTTGCACTTCACATGGGCATCAGTTCCAGATTCATTGTAATAGGCATGGAAGAGTTTTTTTCTTTTCCTCCTTTATTGGCCCATACAAATCGACCTTTAACTCCTCCGTTTTCGCTTGCCCACTTCCGCCCCTTTCCTCCATTTGCACATCCTCACTTCCTTCGCGTCCCGCCTCACCCTCCTCCAATATCACTTCCCCACTTCCTCCACCAACGTGCTTAACCTCCTCCATTTTTGCTTCTCCACTTTCTTGGACTTCCTCAATTTTTTTTTCATTTTCCTCTTCTTTCCATACGTTACTACGATGTAAGGAGATTTGACAAACCTACTCTTTTGGCTCTCTCTTTTTAGCTCAGGTTGCTCTTCAATTACTTTCAATACTCCACCAACGTCCTCCTCCACCCTACCAATTTTCTCTGCCATCTTATCAACTTTCTCCTCCCCCCTTGTCAAACCTCTCATAAACGAATGTTGTAAAACTCTCAAACAGACCGTTTATGAGGTCAACAACCTCATTCTTCAGACCTCGAAGCCTTGGCAAAGCAGTACTTGTTGTACCAGTTTGCCAATTAGGTGGAGGCGTCCAAACCACTTCATCCTTCTCCTCCTCCTTCTCCTCTTCCTCCTCCTCTCTCCTGTTGATTGGAGCTTCATCATCCTCGACGTCAACAACATTCTCAAGCAGTGGCCCTACAACTGCCTTCACATGCATGACCCCTTCTTGGTCCTGCATTAGCCGTTCTATCCCTTCATCTGCTACATTGCCCAATGCATCAAACAATGTAACATACTCCTCTCCTGCTTCACCTCTACTAGGGGTGAGGAAGGAACGGACGACTCCCTGCAATAAGAAAAAAAATCAATCAAATTTAAGCACATTTAAAAGCAATTGCATATTCAAAAGATTAATCCTTTAATCTTACCCGAGCTGCTTGAATTTCTATGTCTATTTTGTCGTAATCCCAATGGGTACACTTCTCGATGTGTCACCGCAACATCCTAGGAAATTGTGGTCGCTCATCGGAATTCTTCATCCTCCCCCCGCCTTAGCCAGGATAGGGACGGTCTCATACATCCCAGCCTACATTATAAAAAAATAGTTCATATCATAATTAAAACACATATAATACAAAACTATAACAAAAAGCTATTAATATTTACCTACATGGCCCATGGGAAGCCAAATAAATTGCACGTGCTTGGTCTATTCTTCTCAATAGATTGGCGATGCTTTAACGCCATGTCTTTTCCTTGTTGGGAGTCCATGGTTAGTTGAAATGATACCCATCCCTACGAATAAGCATTAAAGAAGTTCATGTTGCTTGCAAACTTCACCCAATCCATATTAACAGCTTTTGTTGAGTCTGAAGTCATTAGCATCGAATGAATGAACCATACCAAGCACATCTTGAACCTCTCTGAATAGGTAAACCCAACTTCTCCTAGCCTTTCCTCTAAATCGTGTCCCATAATAAACGCCCTCTCCCCAAAACCTTTTTAGCCAAGTTATCGGCTGCCCTACTCTTTTTTTTTTTTTTTTGCTTTTTACTGAGTGTAGAAACATATAATGCACTCCTTGCCCCCAGAAAGCCTTTTTCCAATTTTCTCCAATGTTCACAAAATGACCAAAGCAACTCTCTTTAAATCGGTTCATACCCTTCTTCTGTTCCTTTAAAATCTCCATTATTCTCATAAAAACTTGCCAACTTGACCTAACTGCCACCCTTACAAGGAAGTACAGTACCTTATCACTTACAATCTCCAACCCATAGTCTTTATAATTTATGCTTCGCAAAATTTGCACAAACGATATTAAAAAAAAAAAAAGCAAGAGACCAAAACAACCAATAGGCTGACAATTTGGGGGATATGGCCTTCAAGGGCATCGGGGAGTGGGTGATTTTGGCCTCGACAGGACTGGGGAAGCCAATGCAAGCCCTATAGAGCCTGATGTGGTAGGTTCCATGAGGTTGGAGGGCTAAGGATGGCAGGAGGTGGTAGAATAGGGGGTCCCAACCCTCCAACCTCCCACAAACAACCTCCCTACAGCCTCCCTTGCCTTTCCCGATCCTCTGGAACCCAAACAAAGCCACTCCCCCCATGCCCGCCAACTACTCGATAAAACGCCACAACCATCATAATAATAAAACCAACTACATATCCCCCAAATTCGCACAAATCAATCAAATTTCTCATCAAATTCAAAACAAAAAGTAAAAAATGTACCATTTCTTCACCGCCGTCCTCTTCCTCGCCTGAATTTTGGCCGGCGTCCTCCTCTTCAGAACTATTTCCCGATTCTTCTCTCTTTTCTTATGCTGCCGTTGTCTCCCCTACCTCTAGACCACCTTGACTCATCGGATGATCCACTGGAGCATCTTCTTCGAAAGCCTTTGAACTGCTGGCACCGCCAAAGTCTAGGATTCGGGGTGGGGTTGGGTTTTCCTCCCCTTTGTGAATGTCAACCATCGTTTTGTGTAAGGAAACTTTAGGATCGAATATTTGTCGGAATTATGGCACTATCGTAGTCGGAAATTGTAGAGAAACGAAATGTGTTCGTCAGTCCTTTTTTGGGTATATGGCTCGATTAAGCAATTTTGAAATGTGGGGGCTCGTTTTCAAATTTCAAAATTTAAACAAACTTTCGTTAATTATGTTTTACCCACATATGTTTAAATCTTTTCAGTTTAACCCATTTTACATGTTTAATGAATCCTAAGTGTGTCATGCCAGCTTTTCTAAATTAAAAAAAAAAAATTCAAAAATATTTTCAAGGTCATTTTTTTAAATGTAAATTTGGGAGGTTTAGCCAGTTAAATTTTCTCTAATGTTAGCCCTCTAACATTGCCATTCCGATGTAATTGTTGTGCATTTATTTGGCTATTGGGCAACATGAATTAACTAGGATTTTAACCCATTTGATTGATTGGTTTGGCTGGTTCAGCTTTCCTGACGAGGGACATTAATTTCCAACGCGGTAATGGGCCAGTATTTTGTTCTCATCCAGACACATCACACATTCATGCACAATATAGGAACATTGAGAAGTTGCCTTGAACTCCAGAAAGCGATAGTTTTCTTATTGCTTCCTAAAAAATAAGAGGACCACACGACTTTGGCTATTCATTTTGGTCCTCAGCGGGTGCCCGGGTGGGGGTTTTTTCCAACCAAAACAGACTCCATTTTTAGATATCCGAATAACACACATTATCGAAGTTTTGATTTCTGTATGTCTCTAGTTATTTTGCTATAGTAATAATTAATAAAACAGAAATATGACAATGAATTGAACCCAAAGGAAAATCACTTTCTTAGCTCCAATTATTGCCAGGTTACAGAAAGGATGTCAGAAGAACTTAAGTTTTTTGAACTTTTTCGCTGTCCTCGCCCCAATTTATATGGCCAGAAGACTTTCATATAAGCCACTAAAATTCTGGCAGAGCCGCAGAGGTAGAACTTCAGTTAATGGTTTGAATTATTTGGTCAAAATTTCTGGTTAAGCTCCCTTTCCCAGTCTTGTCTTAAAAAATTAATTGCCATTTCCTTTCTCTCATAAAGCTGAAGAAGAAACACCTATCGTCTTTTTCAAGGTTTTTTCTTTACCCTGGAAAAAGGATACCCAAAACTATATATATAGCTTATAAGAACCTGAAATACCGTGAATTCATCAGACCGTTCTCAGCCTGGTCAACTAGAAGTGTATCCATAGAAATTCAAAGACATTCATCTCTTCAGATGGAGTGCTGAGAATAGTATGGCAGGAAACTACTGTGTCAAAAATACGGAAATACCCGGTTCCTTAATTTATATATATGTTCTTACAAACTAGTAAATCACTGTCGGCAATTTGCTATGAGTTGTCTAATTTGTTCCTTCTGGCAGGTTCTTTTTAGATACATGGTGAACCGGTTCCACTTCCAAATCCAGTCGAAAACTTTTTCCCTTTTTTTTTTTTTTTCAATCAAAATGCTGTCAGGCTTCAGCGGGTGGGTCTAGTTTTTGCAGTTGTCCACCCTTCAGTGTTAAGTTGTGATCTGACATAGAGCCAGCTTGCAAACAAGATGAATTTAAGAAGCAAAATAAGCAATTTTTTATGAATTGAATTACATTAATAATTACCATCATCAACTAGAACGAATATGTTACAAAATTCTACACATTATACAACATATTATAGCCACTTGATTAAACCGCGTGTATGCATCAATTAAATTCTCAAAAAGGCTTGCAAATATAGATGAATTGGTTAATTAATTAAAGACACAAAAACATGCTTCGATCCTGACTGGCACAACGAACAACATCAAGGAAAGTATTTTCTTCACAAGGAATGCAGAGTTTTGCGTCAGTGGCGAAATCATATTCATCCCGAGCTTGATCCAGCAATGCCATGAAAAGTGGGTGCTTGAGCAAAGTGATTTTGATCACATAACGCTTGCAATTCTCTCCAACATAAACTACTAAATGACCCTTCGGCACATCTCTGGGAATGGCGTCTCCCTCGCGATGCATGGAAGGCCACAAACTCCACTGACAACAATACTCACAACCTCCAGCGGCACAAGGAATGACTCGACTCCCCATTTTCCTCCACTTGTTTAGGTACGCCTTAAGGAACTTCTTTTTCATTATCTTAATGTGTAACTAAATTCCTGGAGACGCAGAAAGATAAAGGGGGTTCTAAACTCTAAAGTGAAGAAGAAAATGAATGGTGTAGTACCAAAAGTGTAAAAAGAGAAGTTTATATAGGCGTTTGAAGGGAAAGAAGACACAATTTTGGAGCATTAAATGTTTGATATGATATGTATAAATGAGCCCAGTTGTAATATTTCTAAACTTGAAATATACGATAGTTGCTTTTAGGGAGAACAACATTTTCCCACCCAAGGTTTGGCAAAACGACTATTTCTCACCCATCAAGTTTTAAAATAACACTTTCCCACCCTTCGTTAAGTTCTCTTATGTTTTCGTTAATATTTTACTGAAAAAACGAAAATACCCTTAAATATTTTACTTTATAAATTTTAAACTATTTTTAATTAGCCAAAAAGTTAAATATTAAAAAGTCAGAAAAGAAAAAATAGTTAACCCTACCTTAAAAGTTAAGAGTAATGCTATAAAAAATTTTAAAGTTAAATAATCTTAATATTTATTTATAATATCATCAATATTTCATCACTATTATTTATAATATTTTTTTTTTAACTGATTAACATAAAAAATTAATATTCCTTATTAATTAAATAAACAAAGAAAAAAATATTTTTACACTTAGACTAATAAATAATCGAATAAAAACTTGACTTAACTAAATTTTAATTTATAATAAACTAATTAAGAAATAAACTATTTAAGAATATTTTCGTCTTTTTGATCAAATATTAATATAAAATACTAATAGAACCTAATAAAGGGTTGAAAAGTGTCATTTTAAAACTTGACGGGTAGGAATGATCGTTTCATCAAACCTTGGTGGAAAACTGCCGTTCTTCCTTGCTTTTAAACTTACACTTTGCCGTGCCCTTGCCCGTGCTGTACTCGACTTAGCTTTATATATGATTATATATAGTAGAGAAAATCTTTGATACGAAAATGTACGAACATGCATCTGATTCTGATCTGATGATTATTTATATAAATAATTAGTGGAAAGGTCACGTAGGAAGGCAAAGTTTTAAGAGGGCATGGTGCTCGATCAGTGATCTTTCGAAGTTCTCGAAGTTAAGACCCCACTAGTTGAGAGTGAGTATGGAAAAGATAAGATATGAAGAGAGGCATGGGATAAGTTTCTTGGGCAAAGTGCGATCTCCGCTTCTTTTGTAAATATGTTCTATTGGATATTGTATAATATTTATCAGTTTGCTGCAATAAAAGAGAGAGTTATATATATTATTTTTACTTTCTAAACTAAGTTTTGCAAATGTCACAGTACTATATACTCTTGATTTTGTGGAAAAAAAAATGGGGTTTAATTATTTCCCTTTGATTAAGGATTAAAGATATTGATTTAAGGCAACTAGTTAATCAATTAACTATTTTGATTTGATGCTGACTATCTCAGCTGGATATCACAATTAGGGATTGATAACACATTATTTGATTAGCTTAGCAATCACTTTAATAAAATCACCAGCATCTTTGTTGATAACAGCACCATTTTGTTGCTATTTTTGCTCCCTTATCTAATTGGATCAGCTCTTTCAGCACACAAAAACTATATTAAAACCTTGATAACCAGCTCTTTGATGTGATCGTAGAGCTATATACACGAATTATTATTCTCCATAAAATGTGACAACTAGGGGTGCAGTCAAACCGAGTAGCTCATAAGTTACTCGGGCTCGACTCGTCACGAACTCAGACTTAGCTCATCAAAAGACGAGTAGTTCACGAGTTCGAGTTCACCTTCAAGCTCGCGAAAGGTGTCGAGCTTTTCTGGCCTCAATTCGAACTGCTTGCGATCTTCAAATTGCTAGCGTCATCATTCGAGTTAGTGAAGCTCGTGAGCTCGATCGATCGTTTCAGCTTGCGTAAGATCAGATTTGCCCTAAAATCTAAAACAAACTCGGCCACAAAATCCCTAAAACAGAGACATTTTCCCTTCAAGCTTATTTCACCTCCACCACCGTCATCTTCACTTCTTCACACCGCAAAGTCTGAGACGCCACTCTTCATTGAGCAACCATTAGCTGGCTTCTTCTTTGTTTGCTTGTTGCTATGTTTTGTGTGCAAATGGTTGGAGAGGGACAGTAGGCTAGGTGGTTTGGTGGTGTTGGTGGGTTTTGTGTGGAGTTGATGTCAACCTCTTGGGAGCCTGGGGGTTTTGGTGGGGCTGGTGGTTTTGTGTGGAGCTGGTTTTTGTTTACTTTTTGTGCTTGTTTTCTAGGTTGGTTTTGTTTTTCTGTTTGCTGGTGTTTAGGGGTTTTTGTATAGAGTTTTGCCTTTTGTGCTCCTAATGTGGGCTGTCTATAAAGAATTTTGTTGAAGTTGATATAACAGCTTGGTTTTTGGATTGCTTTGAATTATTTTAGAGCTTGTTTTTTGGATGAAGGTTTGCACCCTAAGTGTTTGAGTTTTTGCCTGAGTGAACAGCAAGAGACAGAAGCAGTTGGTTTTTGCAGGTTTAACCGAGCTTGGCTCGGCTCAGCTCAGCTCGTACTTAGATCGAGTTGAGCCGAGACGAGCTCGAGCTAAGCTTTTTCCTTATTGAGCCGAGCTCGAGCTCGTGGGCTTGAGCTCGAGCTCGAGCCACTGCCTAACTAATTCGAGCCGAGCTCGAGCCAGCCACTACTCGGCTCGTATGCATGGATGCAAAATTATTATTTATAAGAGTAAACAAATGTTCCCACGCAATATAGCAAAATGGTAAGTTCCCCCCCTTGTTTCATAAATTCAGATTCTTACCCTGTAATACCGTTAGTAACTGTTGGATTTTGAGTCTTCGACACAAATGCAGAAGGTGCTATTACCAAACTACCCACCCTCTTTTTCTTCTTCATTTCCCCTCCTCCACTATTACCAAAGTTGTTCTTCTTCTTCACTGTCGTCGGCCTTTTGGTTGCCTCCCACTAGTTTTCTTCACCAATCACAGCAAGAACTCTTCCCCCACATTGATTACATCTTCCCCAACCCTTTAACCAAAAAATCTGTTGGATTCCGCCTTTTCTTGCTCCCACTCCCTCTCTATGCGACTCCTCGATCTCAAGTGAAATCAACCTAATTTCAACACTATTAGTACCCCTTGACCCCACCATCTTCAAAGTCGTTGATCCTCCCCCCCCCCCCCCCCCCCCCGGAAAAAAAAAAAAAACCCCACCTTCTCGACCTTTTGAACCCATCATCATCGGTTATCGCCCTCCTATTTGTGTCGTGTGACATTCTCCTTTTTTGTTGATTCCATCGCAAAAAACCTTGAGACCACCATTGTGTTCATCACCTAATCCCATCATCCTCGACCACGATAGCTCACCGTTCGCCAACCTCCACCCCACTTAGGAATCCCGTTTGCCGCTTTTTGGGTAAAATGGAGGTCGATTTGTGTTAATTGGTTTTGGTGTTGATTGATTTGGAAGAGTGTTGATTGTTTGATTGATTTGTTGTGATTTTGAGTTGTAATTGGTTTTTCCAACCACCACCACAACTTTTTTCCCCCAACCCTCCACCTTACCCACTAGTTGTTTGTTAAACTGCCCTAAACAAAAACCCCTCTCATCTTCACCCAAAACGCGCAGCCTTCTTTGCTTGGGAGCTAGTTTGCAGCACGAACAACTAGATGATGAGGAGATGGCCAGGAGGTGAACCAAAGCAAGTGAGCTACGATTTGATGCCGAGATCGCCCAAGGATCGCCAACCGCACCGGCTAAAGACCCAAAGTTGAGAGAATGTTTTTTGCAGAATTTAAAATATAATATGACCATTTTAGCCTTTAATTGTTAAAATAAACGAAACAGTGTTAATTTAAAGTGAGAATCTGGAATTTATGAAACCAAGGTGGAAACTTGCCATTTCACTAAACCTTGGGTGAAACAATAGTTTACTCCATTTATATATAAATAGGTTGAACGACATGCACCCACCCATAGTTGGCCGTAAAGACAATTTGGTACCTAAAAGTTTGGAAATGAAAAACACCCACTTTTCGCTATATTTTTTTCATTAAATTTAATTGAGAAATATTGATAGTAAATTCAAAAACAAATAAAGGAAATTATGTCATTTTAACCTTTTCTTCTTCAGTTAAACTCACATTTCTTTCACCTTCTTCTTCTTCAAAGCAGTTGCAACCGGCATTCTTGCCAGCTTTCTTTCATTTTTCCTACCTTTTCAATTGATCTCACCTCCCATCACCATCCTCCTCCATCCCTACCCGATTTTGACCCATTTTTCACAAATTTCCTCTTTCATGTGACCCATCTTCACCCTACAACCATCAGATCAAGCCAAAACTATTGAATTTCAGTGTCAATGGACGTCGCCCTCACTCCCATCTAATCGCCACATCACCTCCACCCAAAACCCATGCCCCTCACCTAGTGCACCCTTAAATCGCCAACCGACGACCACTCACCTTTTGTGCGTTTTTTAGCTTTTCGGCTAGATCTCGTCCGTTTCTAACACCAAAAACCACCCCTGTCACCACCTTCGACTCCTCATCCTCTCCTTTTCAAAACCCATCCCTCCACTACCCTTCCACACTCACCATTTTCCACCTGTGACCTACATCTGCGACCGTGATATAGTCGCGTTTTCGGCCTTTTCTTTCATGTTTTGTTGTTTTTTTTTTGTGTTTGATCTGGATTGCCTTTAGAGTGTTTGGTCACTATTGTGTGTGTTTTTTCTAGTCATCGACCGCTCCCCCATCACTCCAACCTATCTGCTTAATCATCGCCCACCACCTGTTCGACCTTTTGCCGTATCCACTCCCAATCTGGCAAAACCAACTATTGGAGTTTTTTTTTTTTTTTGTTGGTGACTGATTGTAAATTTCCCTAGTCATTTCACTACCGCCAGCGACCAAAAATTTCCTTGTTTTGAAAATGTCCACCACTTGTTTGCTTTTTTTTTTTCACTAAATAAAAATTACCACATTGTCCTTCACACGAAATTCACCAACAAAACCTGACGGAAAGTGGGTTGTTTTCATTTCCAACTTTTTGGGTATCAACTTGTCTTTACGGCAAACTATGGGTGGGTGC